AGGTGCGGTCGGGTCATCCGCGAATACTTCGTTTCACTGCATGCTGCCAGGGTCTTTATCCTGAGGCACGTCGCTGGGACGCGGGAGGTCGGGCACCCATGGGTTCCAACTCTGATCAGCGTTGCGAAGCACGCCTGCGGGACGAAGCTCACCGTGAGCCGCGCACGTCGCCACCAGCACCGCCAGTGACTCAGGGCCACCGAATCCTCCGCGTGTAATCACCCATAACGAAATCTTCATCTCGTACTTATGGATGTCAGTCAACGCGCGGAAGACGCGACGGCCGATCGTCTGCGGCGCCTCGGCAATCTATCCGACATGGCAAGCCGTGTCGGAGGCGCGCGGCGCGGCAGGTGGCTTCGGAGGCACTGCGGCGAAAAATTCGCGATGGGCGACACAGAAATTCATAGACATGAATCCTCGTTGCTGTAGTAGCGGTGGCATGAGACCGCCTGCGAAATACGCCTCATCATGCGCCGCCGTGTTCTCAGACGTTTGTCCAATGAGGACATTGCGAATTGTCTCATGGCATACGGAATATCTTCCACATGCTGCCGCCCACGTTCTTGCACGCCGCCGCCGGAGGACACGCGGCACCTTCCGGACCGAGTCTAAAGACACTCTGGAATAGGAACTCCAGGCGCTGCTGAAGGGCGCCAGCGACGGCGGAGGCGGAGTCCTTCCAGCGCAGGCCCGCGAGAGATACCCACGCGAACATGAAGGCAAGCCACGGCGCGGCAGAGGGCGGAAAAGGAGGCGAAATGCGACCGCCCGCCATGAACTCAGACGCCTAATGAACGAATGATCAGCTGCGGTAACGAGGCCCTGTGGGCTCGCGCGCAGCGCGCGTTGTCCACTTCCACCTTGGCGGCGCTCGCGCTGGAGGAAATTGAGGGGGGAATCCACCAGCGAGCGAGGGCGCACCACCTGTGAAAGGGAAGCCAGGCCCACGCGGGTGTCTTCATCGGCGCCGACGTTGGTGTTTCCGTCAATCTGCGCACTTCGCAGCTCGCCCTGGGGGCGAGCCATGACGGCTCGAGTTCGGCGGGGTTTGTTCCTATCACCTAGGGGGGGTCAAAGCGCGAGTGGGCTTGAGGTTCTGAAAGGCAATAAACAGAGGCACTTCTAGCAGCGCACGCGCGGGCGCGGCTGGCAGACTCGGGGCAAGTAGCACGAGGGCCAGCGGCAACGCGGCCAGCGGTCTGAGCGGCCTCCGACGTCTTCTCGGTCTTCTTTCAACGACGGGGAAAGTGAGTGATAGCTCCAATAAGTCGCGCCAAAGGCGAGCCTTCTTGGGCTCAAAATGTTGCCATCGCGTCAACAATTTGTTCCTGTGTTCCTACGTGTTTGAGTTGTGCTTGTTTCTGCTGGCATGTTTCCGTGATCATATCCAAGCATGAGGATGACGAAGTGCGGGCGCGCGCCCTTTCTGCACCATCGACGCGGCCATTGGAGACGGCGCTGGCGCGGGCGCGGAACGCGGAGCATGCAGTGCGATGTCGCAGTACACGATGTTGCATGACGGTGCCGGCGGCGGCGGCGCAGCTAGCGCTGGTGCCCTGGGGCCGGGAGAGGAAGCGCGCGTTGGCGGCGCCTTCCGCGGAGGTGTCTTGCGTCTCTTCTTCTCGGCGGCCATGGACACGCCAGTATTATTCCCTCGTCGCGGGTCGTGAACCACACCGCCCCAAAATGAAAGCACTGGTGGACCTTCGGCGCGCAAAGCCGCGCCAAGAGCGAAGTCTCGGACTCTGCGGAAGAACGCGGCACGACAGTTTGCTTCCCGCGCGCAGCGTTGAGCGGGAAGAACGCGCCAGGGCGCACCAGCGCGACGAAGACGCCGGCGGTCGACTTCGAGCAGTTGACGCGGCCCGCGAAGGAGGGGTCAGCGAAAGGCACGATGAAACATGTCATCTGATCTGTCACCAATCCATCATGGAGGCAGCGTGCGCGTGTAGACTTCAAATAACAGATCAGCCCATGCAGACGCTTATCACATGTCTTCTTCCACTCGGCGATCCCCCGAGCCAACATGCAGCCGGGGTGAGCGAGGTCAAACCTGCAGCGGCGTGGCAGGTGCACGATCTCCATCAGCACACTCGCCACGTCTGGGCCGAGGAATCCTTCATCTATGTAGTACCGCTCAGCGAACGACGCGTCCTCAATGCCAGGGATGTCGGCGCGCGGGAGATCATTGCACGCGATGCGGGCAGCGTCGTTCGCAAGTTTTCCACCGGCGCACATGATCTGGGCGCGGGCATTGTCAACCCGCGCGGAAGATCCGGGCGAGGGCGAGCGCGGCTCAGGCGAAGGCAGCCTCTTTCTCCGAGCCGGGCGCGCCAGGTAGCTTGGGCGCGCACTCCAGGTTCCGAGTAACGCACTGGTCAGTGAAGCCTAGCACGTCGTGTCGACCCCCACGAACGTTTGCTGCATATGCGCATTGTTTGATGGCGTGCTCCGATAGCATGGGTCGGGTCGTGGCCTTTCGTTTGTCGAAAACGCTTCGCGGTGCAGGCCGCGTCCTGACCGCGGCCCAAGTAGTGACCACATGGAGTAGGTGGGTCGACCTCGACGCCGCTACGTCTATTCAAGTCCCATCCTGACTCCAGGTTGGTCTTGGGACCTGCCACATTGAGGTCATCGACGTAGATGGATAAGATGAGATTGTTCTTGTCGTGCTTCAAGACACACCCCCATCCAGGGATAGGTCGGAATTCCACTGACTCCAGACAAGCACGGCAGCGTCGCCCCAGCAATGCACCCGCCAAGGGGTGGCCATAGAGAGCGAGGCGTAGTCGACAAACGTGGTTCTTGTATTTGGCCCAAGAGTTAGGCTGGCGCCATTTCGGTACAAAATACAAGTGTTAACGGGGTCGATCGGACCGTCGCCGCGAACCCCCAGTCAAGCCTGCCGAAAAGGGGGGCAGCCTTGCCCTGACTGTCGGCCCCTGCGCGCCCGAAAAGCCCTCAACCCTAAACTGCAAGCCGCGGGTTGTGCAGACTCGAAGCCCGTGGCGTATGGCCGAGCGTTCAGCGAACCTCCCAAATACTCATGTCCGTGGGACCGACGAAGCGCGAAGCGCTGCCGAGGGATTCGCACGCCGCACGTGTACGGCTCCGCTGGTTCGATCTAAGAAAAGAAACCCTTACCACCCAGCCGCAGCTAGCGGGTCCCCCATTAGCTCGTGCATCCCGTGGAGCTGCCAAACATGTAAAAATATGCTTGCCGCGGCCCCTGGAGTCTGGAGCGCGCCACGCGCGCTAAAATGCGAAAAGCGCTCGCCCCTGGGACACTTCCGCTACTTCAGAAACCTTCAGAGATCCCCCGGTGGCCGTGTACGCGCGCGCGCGCGCCCATCCGTGTGCCACACACACCGGAGACGAATACCCAACACAGCAGCTGGATTGGATACTCTGGTCGCGCCGACTGCATGAAATCGCACTCCTCTCGGAGAGCCTGTCCATCGCCGCAGACATCCCTCGCACTCTACAATGGCAGCGGCTCCCGAAGATAACTCTGTTTTGGCGCTGCCTGAGAGAAGCCCGTGGCGCACAAACGCTCTGGCGGGGATCGCGAATGCAAAGCTGAGGGAGCTCGAGCCAGCCACTCTCCTGTGATCAAGCTGAAACCGCCTGCGCCCCGCAGTTTCAACTTGAAGCACAATCGCTTGAGCCAAAATGGCTACGGACCCTCCTGTTCCTCCTCCTCCTCCTCCTCCTCCTCCTCCTCCTCCTCCTCCTCCTCCTCCTCCTCCTCCTCCTCCTCCTCCTCCTCCTCCTCCTCCTCCTCCTCCTCCTCCTCCTCCTCCTCCTCCTCCTATCTCCTCCTCCTCCTCCTCCTCCTCCTCCTCCTCCTCCTCCTCCTCCTCCTCCTCCTCCTCCTCCTCCTCCTCCTCCTCCTCCTCCTTCTCCTCCTTAGTATCCTCCTCCTCCTCGTCTTCCTCCTCCTCCTCATCATCACCCTCCTCCTCCATCCCCTTCTCCTCCACCCTTCCGCCCCCCCATGCCCTTCCTCCCCTCCCCCCCCCCACAATTACTCAATATGAATACTACTTTCCCTCTTCCCCTGATGGCGTGCTGGGAGTGGCCGACACCCCCCGCGTACTGTTTCTTACACACAGGAAGGGAATTGGGTTTTCGCCTGCGCTTTTCTTCAAAATGCTGCTCTCGTTGAGGCACCGGCCTCATTTCTGCTCCCGAATCGTTCCGATCCGAATCGTGTTCCCGCTGCAGCGTGGGCCTCATTTTCGGATCGGTGTTTGGCCTCCGTCGTTCAGGATGGCGTTCTCGCCCCAGCGCGGGCCTCTTCCTCGCGCGCCCATCCGCCCGCCACCACCGCGCCGCACCACCACCACCACCACCACCACAACCACCACCACCACAACCACCACCACCACCACCACCACCACCACCATCACCAGCACCCATCACCAGCAACACCACCACCACCACCACCATCACCAGCACCCATCAACCAGCACCACCACCACCACAACCACCACCAGCACCACCAGCACCACCACCACCACCAGCACCACAACCACCACCACCACAACCACCACCACCACCACCACCACCATCACCAGCACCCATCAGCAGCAGCACCACCACCACCACAACCACCACCAGCACCACCAGCACCACCACCACCACCAGCACCACCAGCACCACCACCACCACCACTACCACAACCACGCACACACGCACGCACGCACGCGCACCACCACCCACTACGCACGCGCGCGCGGAGCCACAGGTCCGCTACGACACGCGTCCGCGGATAGAGAAAATCAGCGCCATGGTATGGGACGTCAGATACGCGAGCGCACCTAGCTTGCCCCCCTCCCCCCCCCCCACCCTGCCCCGCCCCTCCTCCCCTGCCCCTCGAGGCTGGCCCTGGGAGCGTGCCGCGGTGCCGCGGCGGAGCCCCCGCGCGCCCTTTCTCCCCGGCGGGCGCCCCGCGACGACGCGCGCACGGCGGCCCCGGCTCTGCCCCCGGGCGGCCCCCGCGGCCCCGCCGCTGCACCAGCTGGCCCCCGCGGCCCCGCCGCGGCGCCGGCGCCCCGCGCCCACAGCGGAGGGCCTGCCCGGGGCGAGCGACGAGGCTTTGGTCTCGCTTGACGCCTCTCATCCCCTCCTCCTCCTCCTCCTCCTCCTCCTCCTCCTCCTCCTCCCTCCTCCTCCTCCTCCGCCTCCTCCTCCTCCTCCTCCTCCGCCTCCTCCTCTGCCTCCTCCTCCGCTCCTTGCTCAGGCTGCCTGATCGACACATGCGCGAACACCTCAACTCATCACCGTGCCACGCGTGCCAGCTCTCGAACGAGCTCTGTAGCCGAGTCTGCCGCAGCGAGCCACGTCAGCTCGATCAGCAGAGCAAGCGTGTGTCATGAAGGCGCCTCTGTACGCAGCCGGTTCTGCTACCCACTGTGACCGGTTGTCCGTGGAAAGAACAGCGACAAACGCGCTGGCACCACGTCCTGCTGTGAAACTTCAATTGGGATACAGTTGCAGATGGGCACTGGCCTGCAGAACATCAGCGATGCTGCGAATATCAATGTGGCTCACCTCCTGCTCCAGACTCAGACAGACATTGTACAACAAAAAGGCGGCCTTGTTACACTCTCGCACCCTCTAACCACGGGTGTTGAGGTACCTTGCCTTATGTCGAAACGTATATCTGAAGAGAACGTAGTTTCTGTCACGCCTTCTCTGGACGATGGCATCGCACGATGGGTTCGCAACATGCATCTCCAAATGAAACAACAAACCTACATACAGTTTTTGTTGCCCAAAGCGAACTCGAGTTGAGGCCTGTCCGAGACCAACAACCACAACGGCCTCACGCGAGATGACATAGCGACCTTACGCGAAACCATTGGTAGTTCCCCAACCCTCCCCCTGGACCACCCCCCTAAACCACCCCTCAGGTGTGTTTTTGTTCCGGGGATGGGCCTGGGCCTGGGGAGAGGGGGGAGCGGCTTGGGGGGGGGGGGTCGAGGCTCCAAGGTCGAAAACAATACTAGCATCGGAGAAGTCCAGAAAGAATACCTACCCCCCGCCCCCCCCAAACCCCCCTCAGGGGGTGGCGCTGTGGGGTGGCGCCCCAGCGGCCCTGTCCCACGGCTTGTGCATGCTGCCAGTGCGGCACGATACAGACGAAGCGATGGCGCTTACGCGCGGCCTTACGCGGGAAGCTCCTCACCCTCCTCCTCCTCCTCCTCCTCCTCCTCCTCCTCCTCCTCCTCCTCCTCCTCCTCCTCCTCCCTCTCCTCCTCTTCTCCTCCTCCTCCTTCTCCTCCTCCTCCTCCTCCTCCTCCTCCTCATCCTGCTCCTCCTCCTCCTCCTCCTCCTCCTCCTCCTCCTCCTCCCCCTCCTCCCCCCTGTGCGCGCAGCCGAAGAGAAGTGCAAAACGCGGGCCTGGCCCTCATTCCTGGCGCTGGCGTTTGGCTGGCCTCTCGGCGGGCGCGCCCGCCGGCGCTCGCTCGTCGTCGCTGTCCCCGAGGTAAAACGTCGTGGAGGGCTGCCAGATCTGCAGGCTGTTGTCCTCAGCCACGGAGCACGCCAGGTAATCGTCCACGGGGCTCCAGGAGAAGTCCGACACGCCCTCCCAGTGGCCCATGTGGGACAGCAGCAGCTGGGGGGGATCCTTCCCTTCCGCCGGATCCTCCCCGTCGGAATCGCCGCTCGCCTCGAGGTCCCAGAAGCACACCCGCGAGTCCGTCCCGCACGAGGCCAGCAAGCCCGGCCGAAACGGAGCCCACCGAACCGCGACGGCGTCGCCGGTGTGGCCCCGGAGGTCGTGGACCGGGGCCCGCTGAACCTGCGGGGGCGAGCCGGGCAGGTCCCCAGCGGCGCGCAGGTCCCACACGCGGACCGCGCCGTCCTTGCTGGACGTCGCCAGGGTCCACTCCTGGAAGAAGCTCCAGTCCACGGACAGCACGTCCACGTCCTGGCTAAGGAGAAAGCGCTGCGCATCCAGGCACGGAGCTCTCGGAGGCCCGCGCGGGCTCCCAGGTGGGCGCAGACCCCCCCCTCCCCACACCCTTCCACTGGCGCGCGGAGCGCGCCTGGGGCGGCGCTGGTGGCGCCGCCAGGGGTGTGGGGACCCAGACCCCCGAGGTCGTGATTTTTTCACAACGTCGACCCTCAGAGGTCTGGACCCCTTCCCCGGGACCGGCTCTTCATCCCGAGTCGTTTTTTGACGCTCCCGAGGCCCAATAAGGGCCCCCGGAGGCCGAAAATAGCGCAAAACCTCCCGTCGTGATTTTTTCACGACGCCAGGAGGTCTGGGGAGGGGGTCCGCCGCCGATCAGCGCGGAGCTCCGAAGGCTTGTGCCCACGCCGTGGTTTCGGGCGGCGCGCGAGGAGCGGGCCCTGGGCAGGAGCGCCCTCTGGTGCGCGGCTGCGGGGAGCCACGGGGGGGGGGAAGGCCCAGCCCGGGCCACCTCCGAGGCGCGCCGGCCAGTGCCGGTGGGGCCCGAGCGCGCCCGCACCAGAGGTCCCTTC